CAGACATGACTTCCCCTTGGTGAATCCATGCTGACTGCTCCTCAGCAGCTTCTTCTCCTCCATATGCCTGGAGATTCTCTCTAGGATGAACCGCTCCATCACCTTTCCAGGGACGGAGGTGAGGCTGACCGGCCTGTAATTGCCCGGCTCCTCCCTCTTGCCCTTTTTGAAGACTGGAGTGACGTTGGCTCTCTTCCAGTCCTCGGGCACCTCCCCTGCTCTCCAAGACCTCTCAAAGATGATGGAGAGAGGCTGAGCAATAACCTCGGYYARTTCCCTCRGCACTCTTGGGTGCATCCCATCTGGGCCCATAGATTTTTGAGTGGCCAGTTTGCCTAAGTGATCCTTAACCCAATCCTTCTCAACCCGTGGAAGGTCTTCCTCTAGCCCATTTACATCTCTTCCATTTGTGCCCTGCAGTTCATGGGGGGGTCGTCTTAGCAGTAAAGACAGAGGCAAAGAAGGCATTTAGTAAATCTGCCTTCTCGGCATCCTCCGTCACCAAGGCCCCTTCCCCATTCAGCAGTGCGCTAACATTTTCCCTCATCTTCCTCTTGCTATTGACATACTTATAGAAACCCTTCCTGTTGTCCTGTTGTCAGAATCAGGACCAACTTCAAAGTCAACTTTGAAATCAGATCGGATTGCTTAGATTCATACTCGTTTGAGTTTTGAGTATCTCAAATGATATAAATATTTAGGGAGCAAGAGAATAGTGACAAGGATGGCAATTCTATTTACAGATTTTTTTCTGATTTYAAAATGCACTTTGCCTAGATGAGACTATGGTGTCTGATAATGATATCTGATAATGACAACTTCTGTGCCATGTGTCAGTCTTCRTTATCTCTAAGATTTGCTTTACAGCTTATATAACTGAAGAAGTGCTAAAAGTGAATGAAGCAAAAGGGAACACATATTATAAGMGTTTTTCTTTATGTCTTATGTGGGCAATGACTAAGGCTCCTATTGCTCAAGGACTGAATAGAGTAGTCATGGTGGGACCCTGGCAAATTATTTCCATTACAGCTAGAAAAACAGGAATCCTGTAGAAAACAGGATTTTGTGAAAAACAATATGTGAGAGGCCATGATAAAACAGAAATGAATGAAAGATGCTGAAACAGAAATGAAATAAAATAGATGGAGAAGAGTGACTGAGAGGTTTTCAAAYTGTCCACTTCCCAAAGGAGATTTGGAACATTTGGCGCTTTGGAAAATCCATCAGGTAACTGAATCAAATCTGACCTGGATTGGGAATGCTGAATTCTTGCAAATTTAGACAAAATTTCTAGTACATTTTCTGTAATCTTTTGCTAATAAACACACTAAGAAGYCTGGGAAGATAGGAAAAAAGCATCAAGATTTTAAATGGGTAGTATGTAGTCACAAAAATACAGCGTCCCTTGGCAGTTTCAGTAGGCATATATATATATATTCCTAGGCATACTATCCAGCAAGCTTTTAAAAACAGGACTAAAAATTTATAGCCATACGTTCTCCAGGGAAGAAGCAAAGAATTTCAGTTGCCCCCTTCCCTCACTTTGGGATACCCCAACAACAATACCCCAACTCTGGGAAGTTCAGCTTCTCACTTCTTAATATCCAAGCTGTATCTACTCCAAATGTACGTAACAGATTTCAAGAAAATAGTTCCACCATTCCCTATGTTAATGAGTTCATGCAAAACCTGTAATATCAGATTGTGATCCAGCTGAGAATAATAATTCTTCAGCAATATCCTACAGGGCAATGCATATTCTAAGACTGCCTGAAACACTTCGGCTATGTGGATTTGTTTCTTTTATTTATTAAAGACTCACCTTTACAGATCATGTCATAAAATGAATTTGAACTATATAGAAATAGTATCATATATAAATAAAATTAGCACAATCAAAAAAGAAATGAAGACCTGGGAACAACATGATTTTCAGTGCACTAAACTGGGATCAGCAAAGCATTACTTATAAGTAATATGGCCCATATACTTTCCGCAATTGTAATAAAATAAAGGTAAATAACTTATATTATATGACAGGTGCCTTTCAAGAACTTTGATAGTAATTTTAAACCGCTGAAAGGTCCTGCTRTGTTCAGTAGCTTTAACATTATAGCAAATTTAATGGATTTTAGTATAAGTTAATATAACTATTTATTTTCTTCATAATACATTCATATAAATTATATACTCAGCAATTAATGCTAAGAAACTTCTAAAACTACACTCAAAATCGGGCATTTTATCAAAAACAAAAAGCACTCGTTTGGTTTAGTAAACAAAGATGTGGCATTTTGCTCCTCCTGCAACATAATTAGTTTAATATTATTAACCTGTGCTCCAAATAACTTTACGTGGATGGCTGCCACAGAAGAACTAATTGGAAAAGCTCCAAACACCACTGTCCGTAACAACGCCTGCTTGGAAATGCTCCGCTGGAGTCCTAACAGGGGCTATTCCCCACAGCCAGGCACGCAATATAACGAAGCAAAGCGGCGCTGCGCATCGACATACCAAGGTGTTATTATTCAGATCCATCTTCCCAGCAAAGGGCCCCCATGTCGTTCCGACCGGAAGCTGCTGCCGGCTCTGAATCCTGCGCTCGCCGTCTTTCTGGAACATCTCCAACTCTCCTGCAAACAAAGAAAACAAGCCCTGTTGAAAGCACTTTCGCTTGCGCCTCCACAACAGCCACCTCTGCCTTTGTGCTCGCTTTACGGGCGCAATGTTCTGAGCGCCCATTTAATGAGAATTAATTATGCCAGTCCGAGAAAACAACTGACCTCGTCGTCCTGCAGAAGGAAAACAACCCTTTTTCCTTAGAATTATATTCAAATTCCATGTAGAAAGTCCCATTCCTTTCTTGCATCTTTCACATATGTTATAGTTTGAGGGCATTTTTGTTCAATAAATTGGTAAGAAGGAGTGAGACAAGGGGTTTCGTTCAAGTTCTTACCAAATACTGAGGACGGGGAAGATGAGAGGAATCAGAGCAGCACCTGGTRCATTCACCTCCTTTATGCATTCTTGCTGTCACAAAGACACAGTCTTAAGCATTTGCCACTAAAAACTTTACAGATGTGCTTTTTTTTTTGCATTTATAGTAATATAAATCCAGAGTGACTACACTGATTTTGGAGAAACTACTAGAAATATACACTAGAATACATAAATAAATAAYGAACCAAATGAAATTTTAAAGCAGTAAAAACTGCAGCAGCAGYTTTTAAAAATAAAGCAATTATTTTTAGGCAAAACAATTCTAATCACTATACTGTGGTTTTAATACAAAATGTTTATAAATAATGGGAGTATAGAGAATATTCATTGCTTTAGTCCACCGTGGAGAGAGTTTGTATGTGTGTGTTGATTTTTGCTAAAGTGAACTTTATTTTTGAAAGTAACAACATCAAAATTAACATTTTAAATTGAAAATGTTAGCCTTCCTCAGTGCTAACTTTTGTGTTCTTCCCCAGCACAAGGGGAAATATAAACAAGCAATTGTTTATTGCCTTAGAAAGATAAGCATAATTCTGTCACCACCTTTCCCCTCATGCTTTTATTAAAAAAAGACAAATTCTTCTTTGCAAAGCAGTCCCTCCAATAGTCTGTTTTTTCTGTGAATGCATTTTTCACATACAAATGTAGCAACACTTGTGCTCATAYACATAATTTCTAATACTTTTTCTAAAGTAATTCAAGTAAGTTTTGTCTTCAAATTTTAGGGGTACCTCTATGGGAGCGGGAGTGATGTCTGCTCAGCTTTGTAGACCCTGAACCAATTATTTATATGCTGCAGTTCCTGTAAGCTTTGGCCTTCCCGAAGGTCAGCGATCAAGCTGAAAATCTGCTTTTGTTGCAGTGTACAACAGGGCTCACACAGATTTCACTGCAGCCATGATTTCCCCCTACCTCGCCTTCCATCACGATACCAATCAGATGGAACAGCAATTCCTGCCTTTTGCCTCAGTGCATCCCTTCTCAACAACTCTCCCCCAAATCAGCCTGCGCACAACCAGCGCCAAGTCCAACTATGCAATAAGTAAACTCGTCCCAGATTTAGAGCTGGCAAATGCTGAGAGCTCAACCTTGGCCGGAGGAAGTGAGTAACTCCTGCTGGCTCRCAAGCAGTCTCCACACACTTCCCACACCAGCCATTCCCATGAATGCCGGGATGTGCGCTACAGCTGCACTGGGAAGGTTTTCCTTGTCCTTAGACAATCTTGACCGTTTTCCAAGGAGAAGACTTGGCACCAGCTTCCATTTTCAAGCAAAAAAATCTGAATTCCATCTCTGAGCACTGTAGATTACAAAGCTACTTAAAATACAGCATCAGATCCTCTTTGTAAATGGGATGTGTGCAAATGTAGGTGTCCTACGAAACAGAGCTGTATCAATTCATAAAAGCTTCTACATGACTGCAGATGAACTCACATCATGATGGTGCTATGATACAGTAAACAGGAAAGGCTACAGATTATATATAATTTACATACATGATATACATGTGTGCATAAATATATATATATAATAATGTGAAACACATTTTCCCCCTTCACAAGCATGTTGTCACAAATTGAATTAATTTAAAAAAATCTCTGTATATGCTRAACATAGAAGAAAGGAATCTTTCTTGTAYTGCAAAGCAACATGTTGATCACTCACAACTACTGCAGCATTTTCTCTCTACATAAAGATGGAAACGGCCACATTTGCTTGCTTTTACACACTAAAAAACAGCCATGTCTATGGACATGTCACATTTAACTGATACCAGAGGAATCATGAGAATCTTTGAAAACCCTTTTAAAAAATAATTCAGCCTCCCTTTCTGCCACTGACATTTTTCATTTGAAAAGGGTTCAGACTCAGTCAAACAGTGACTCCTTATCTATACCTGTGGATTTACAAGCAGGCCTGTCTTTTAATGGATTAAGAACGACAAACTTAGGGCAGATCATCCAGTGATATCCAAAAACCTACCTAAGTTTTAAGGTACACATCATCATATTTTATATTTCAAATAAGATTCACAACATTAACCTTATCTTGGAAGATATGTTAGTAAAGATAACTTTAGGCTTGAGGCAGACATTAAAACGAGCAGTCATTTTTTTTCGAAACTGTACTTTTTGCCTTTAATTGCAAATTGAATAAGTTAATGTGAATTCATTCTCTCTTTTTTTTTTTTTCTGATTACAGTCACAAATTGTAGCTTTGGTGATGTATTTACATGCGTATTAATAAACTGAAATGTCCTCCAGATGGAGTAACATTATGTGGAATTGTACTGAAACAGCTGCATTTTGCCCTCCATTAAGAACGCCGTAATAGAGAATAGTAGATTATGGAGAGGATTACAAAACACTCTGCATCATAATCTTTTTTTCCCTACAATCATAATTTTCAAAAGAAAAAAATCAGAAAAAAGGTAAATCCCTCTCTGGTCATCTTTGTCAGGACCCACTCTAAAATTTTGGGTGTATGCAAGTGTTAGAGTTGGGCAAGAGAATCATGTGCTCACATGTTCTGGCAAAAAAAAMCCATTTTAGCAGTGCTTGCTACAAAGTTCAGCACACTACAATTTAATTCTTGACAAATCTATTTTTTTTCACTGGAAAACTGTGTTTGTTTTGAGGAAACAAATTAACACTAAGAGAACTGTAATTAAAAAGAAATACAGAGCAAAGTCTAATTTTTTCAAGCCAGAGAATGAGTCTTTATTCCTTTTGTAAAATCACTGGATACGTTCCTTTGTCTGCCCTAAGCAGAGGAAAGTCAGGGGCTGGTACGAGGGTTTGTAGAAGAAAGATTACAAACGTCACTATTAAAAATCCTCTCCTGAACTCCCCTGACCACTGAGTAGGAGTTTGCAATTTACTGCACTCATTTACAACATTCTGCTCCTCTGAAAATTTATGTATGGAAACGATGGCAACTGATGGCCCCAATGGAAAGAACGGGGCTTCCCTGCATGCGGGCTCTGGCTTCCCAGGTGCAGGGGTTTTTCAACAGGGCAAGTGGTGCTGCTGAGCAACTTGTCTTAAAGCAAACTCCCCTTAGGCCGCAAGATCTTCTCCCAGTGATTCTTAACTAAAAGTATTTGGAAAAAGTGGTAAGGCCAGAAGTATTGCCTTTGGGTCTCAGCCACAGTTCAGATACAAATAGGAAGTGCCCTCGATTGCTCCTGTCCTCCATATCTGTGTTCAACATCTTCTTCACGCATCAGGGAAAGAAAGAGTTGCCATGATTTTAAAAAGGAATAAAGGATCAACTGGTACTGATTTTTCATAGGTGTCTATCCATGGAGATTCCATGAATGGAATAAAAAGAGGAAAAAAAAGAAAAAGATGTAAGGAACAAAGCTACAGCTTACTTACTTGGTGCTCTAACCCAAAAGCAAGCAGAAAATTCTGTGCTGAACATAATAGTTTCTAGTGATCGGCATTTGCAAGAGACCACCTCAATATGAAACACCAGATCCTTCACTTGATAGCAAATTATAKTGTGTGGAATTCACAGACACACTTGGAATGGAGCATGTCCTACGGCAGCATCAGAAAGGCAGTTATATTCTGCTGCTTTCATCCGAGATCCCTCAGCTGGCCCATTGAGAGGTACAGCAAGAAGCAAACCAGAAATACAAGTACAAAGGAAGAGATGCCCTGACTTTAAGATTTGCAAAGTTAGGTAAAAAAAAAAAATAATAGAATTAATAAACATTCCATTTAGTAATCTATACCTCACTTTTCCTTGCTACCAATAAAATATATATATTTTTTTCATCTTCTTCAGGAACACTTATTTCCAGCTTGCTGAGTAAGTTTATACAAAAAATTTGAGACACATAGTATGGGCTAATCAATTTTGGTAAAAGATAATGCTGTTAGTGCTGTGGGCTGTTTCTCTTATCTTGTTGATGTAGCATACTTTTAAAGTCTGTGATTACTCAAAGACTTATGATAGCTGCACTGTAAAAGAAGCCCCAAGTCATGACTCACTGGTACAGCTACAAAATATCCCATGGCTTTTAAGATATTAGGCCACCTTGGTGGATATAAAAGCAGAATGAAATGACTAAATTTAGGATTTTTTTTCCTTATATATACATATTCTTCAGGGATGCCACATGGGGCTCACATAAAACAAGAGGTAGAAGGGTCACTTTAACTTTTTATTCTTTTAAAGAAAAGTGATGATGATTTTAAAAAATCCAGAAAACATGTAGCAAGTTGGAAAAAACAACAACAGCTTTTGGCCCTTAACAGGATTTGACCATAGTTCACATACCAGAAGAATTCAACTATAAATGGTATTTCTGCACACAATAATTCTGGCTTTTATCCATCTCCCCATGTTCTGGAATAAGAAACAAGGGAGTCAGTATCGAAGGTGAATGATGAACAGAGATTTGCAAGAGAAAAAGTGAACTACTTTGTTCATAAATGTTTATCCAGATTTATTAATATTTATCATTTTTAAGCAAATCACTGATAGCTTTGACAGTAACTTTTCATCAGGAACAGCCCTCCAAGTGGAGTCAGCTAAGAAAAAGCATGAATAAGCCCTTCCTCTGTTATAATTAGAGATTGGTTACTTGACATCACAGAGCTCTATCAATTTCGACTAGCTA